AATGTCCAGCTCAGATTGTTATCAAATTTTTCACAGAAAATGATGAGTTTGGAACATATGAATAATCGAGTGATCATTTTGTAACTTTTAATAATCGATGGACTCAACAAAATAACATCTGGACCATTTATACTTTATCCTAATTTCATTTTCATAAGTGGTCATTTTTATCACTAAATTAAAAAAATCTAATTATTTATATTATCAATTGATAATACTTTAATTATTAAGAGTTACATATTGTTCCTTTAACAATGTCACATATTAATAAGGGTAAAATACAAATTTGATAACTAAACTTTACTTTCTTTTCTATTTTTCTCAATGTGCTTTAAATATTTATAATTTCCTCACTAAACTTAATATTTTAGATTTTTTTGGTCACTCAATTGTTTCCTCCTAGTTATGACGTTGTTTATTTTATTTTATTTTTTAATGAGTAAATTACAAATTTAATCACAAAACATTATTTTCTCTCATATTTCACTCACTATACTTTTAATTATTTTCAATTTAATCACTAAACTTTATGCATTGAATTTTTTTGGTCAATCCTATGTTAACAATAAAAAACACTATTTCATAACGTTGTTAGTAAGGAAACGACTGAGTGACAAAAAATTCAATGTATCAAGTTCAGTGAGGAAATTGAAAAGATTTAAAGTACAATGAGTGGTATAGGAGAGAGAGTAAAGTTCAGTTACCAAATTTGTAATTTACCCTGTTAATAATTGAGTTAATTTTTAATTTAGTTAAGCAATTTAGAATAAAATATTAAAGTTAACGTTTAAATTTCATATAAAATAATAAAAGAATTATTAAAATTTAAATAAAAATATTAATTTAATCAACTTCAACGATTATATTTTGAAAAATCTAGTAGTACAAAATTTACCCTTGTTTAAGTAATAAAACGGATAAAAACTGATAGTTTATGTATTAGACGTGTAATTTACCCCTGTTTTTAGATGCTGATTATAGGGATATAATGTATGAGCCACTGCATGTTTCAAACAGATTTTTCATTTGCTTTACCATTTCCACGATCCACAAAGTACAAACCGCGATGCTAAGTTTGACTTAATTCGTTTTTCAGAAAGAGAATGCATAAGCAGTTGGTAGTATAGATGCAATTTGTGAGTGAGATATTATCTTTGCTCTGACTACTTTGTGCTGCAGATTTAGGCTTTAGAAAACCATTTGATGCTAGTTGAGCTTGCTCGACTGCAAATGAGAAATGGAATTTCATTTGTTTTTGTTTCATTTGGAGTATAAACTATGTTCATCTTCTGACCCTTTTTATGGCTTGTTTTGTGATTGCAGAATTCTCGCCATTCTCACTGTAAGTAAGTGCAAAAGTTGTTGAGCTTTTGTGTGACGAGTCTTACCGAGGTTCTGAGCCTTTTCTTCTAGCATTCTTGTTCTTCCCTTAGCATGGTAAGTTTCTGCCATTTGCATAACACCATTTATATCTTTTTTATTGTTGGGAAAATAAACTAATTCTTTGTTCGATTGTTAGTTGCGTGTTATTCCTTTGTCCTAGTTGGCTAAGAAAGATTTAGGGATATAGTTTCATATTAATATATATAATATATACAGACACACTTGTATATGGTATGGCTAAGAAAGATTTAGGGATATAGTTATAAAACCTGAGTCATGTTAGGCTTCTCAAGTATGATTCTGTTTGTGGTGCAACTGTAAGTAGAAAAATGTTTTGTTTTGCGCACCTAGTGAATATTCTGAAGTCCTTTGGTGCTGCAGGCTACTTCCTGACGAAGATTTTCCATCCAAATATTGCGACCAATGGTGAAATTTGCGTAAACACACTAAAAAAGGATTGGAACCGAGTCTTGGATTACGACATGTGCTCATTGTAAGTTCCACTGGACCCAGACTTCATTCTGTATCTGTTTTTCTAAGTTTGTTTGATCATAACTGCCCAAGGACTGCAAATTTCTTTCGTTAATCCAGCTTTAGATCTTTAGCTTCATGTTTTTTCATCTTCCTCGGCTCTGCCAATGCCGCTGCGGGTATTTAGGTGTTTATTGATTGAACCATTTCCATAATCAGCTCTAAATGAACAGGCTGGCAAGATGCTGCTTGAAAACTATGACGAGTATGTCCGACATGCCAGCTGAGGCTCTCCCAACCCATCTAGACCTAACACATTTATTCATTGGTTCTTTAATATATATTTTGCGATGCTGAAATATAAAACCTTCAGCTGGAAGGGAATAAACCCGTCCAGCTGGAATGGCTTCGCATTTGGTAATATTACTTTTGTCGTTCGACTTGTACAAACGATCGATCAAGCTTTCAATTATTGTCTTCTATTACGCCTTACATGATATTATAGTATTAGTGATGCACTCTTGAAGGAATTCAATCGGCTTGCAGTTCTCACAATCTTCTGCCCTTAACACAGGCTTTATACCGGAATCCATGCGAAGCCGAAACCCAAGTTCAAATCAGGAGCTATTTGAGAGTCAACTACGGCACTGAACGTGGAGCAGCGTAACACCTCGGTTCTGAATGTTGAGTAGAAAAATGCAGCAAGCGGTGCCGGGTTATCATTACCAACCCCACTCGCTCCATCAACCATATCGACAAAAGGAGGCAACAATCCGGACCACCAGCATCAACAATCCACAGTTCCTGCAAGTGAAACCAGGGTTAGTGGAACCGGCATTGTAGGAATATCGGGCACCACCGCCTAAGAAGGAAGGTTTGCCGAAAGTTCTTGCGGACAAGAAGAAAATGGATGCTAGAAAGAAAAGTCTCAAGAGATTGTAAAGTCATGGTGTCTTGAGTAATAAAACAACTAAAAATGAACTTCATAAGGCGGTCGGAAACTGGTTGTTTGTAATGGATGCTTTATTTTGGGAAGGTGATGAATGCTTTAATTTGCTTTAGGAAGCTTTTTTTACAGGTTTTTTATATGCGTAGTACTTAAAGTGATAACGTTTGTAATGTTAGACATCTAAATGAATTAAAAAAAGATTTGGGGTACTTATTTAAAAAATGATATAGTTTAGACACTTATTTTATAATTAATTCTTCTTATAATAGGACCCGTCTACCTATGTCGTTCATTTAAGCCCTTAATTCAAAGGGCCCTTTGCACTCAAAATACCATGTGTAAGATATGGACTTTGTTTCAGAGGCCACTCCATAAAATCAACATTAGGAAAATATATAACTAAATATCAATTATTTCTTTACAAAGTTTCATGTCAGCATTTTTACAAAAAATATTTGGTATGTCAGTAGTTTTCGGTCTAACCGACTTTGGTCATTGAAAAAAAATTAAGGAGAAATGGTCACTACAACTATCGACCCGTCCAATTTAAGTCTCTAACGTTATTAATTCGTCCGATTTAGGTCCTAACGTTATCAGTTCGTTCGATTTTAATCCCTCAAATATGTTAGTAACTCCAACAAAAGGGATTTAAAATAGAAGGGGTTAAACGAAATTAATAGCAGATGGGCTTAAACCGGATAAACTGAGAATAAGGTACTATTTTCCCTTAAACTTATTTTGGTGACCAAAATCGATAAAACTAAAAATATAAGAGACTATCGACATAGTTTACCCGAAATATTTTGTTACCTTTTTCTTAGCATAATATTTACCTGCATAAAAGTTTAGAGGCATCACAAAATAGTAATAGATCTGTCTGGTCGCTTGTTTTTTCTTTCTTTTCTTTTTATTTGATAAACAATGACAACATTAATTTTAATGTTAATTGTCGATTATTTATATTTTTTATTTTTATTTTTTATTGTTTTATATTGCATCGTCTATTTATATCTGTTTTCTCAATTTCTAATAACTTTTGTCTATCTTTACCACATACATTTCTACGTCTTTTGGTACGTTTTTGACCATTAATTTTTTTTATTTTTTTATAATTTAATTTGACGACATATCGAATAGATGATATTTATTGTCATGTTAATCTTTATTGTTCTGAACTATTACATTGGATTGGATATGAGATTGACATTTAGAGATATTATTCTCACGACACTCAATTATGATTTGTTAATATTTATAGTTTTTTCAATAATTTAATCTAATGTTGTGGTTCATTTGTTAATATAGTCAATTTTGTTTGTATTTTTTTGAGTTTTATGGATTGAGTTTTAACGTTTTCCTCGTATAATCTTATATGATTTTAAGTGACTCGTTTCTTGTGTCAATGATTATAAATATATATCTTAATTATATATTTAGTTTACATTTACGATTATAAATTTTCGTTGTAATTTAAAAAAGTTTCCCCAATAAGTTTAACTAGGGGGTGTTCAATCAGTCGGTTCATTTAACCGACCAAACTGAACTTCCAAAATTTTATTAACCGAATTTTTCTTTAACCGTTAACCGAATCGAATTTTTTTTCAAAAATAATTAATCGAACTGAATTTTTTTCCAAAATAATTAATCAAACCGAACAAAGTTTGATTAATCTTTTGGTTAACATAATTAACCTAAATTTATAGATAATATATTTGATATTTTCTATAATTAGATTAATTCGATTAAATTCGAAGGTAAAACACTCTATATATAAGTAATATATTAAATTTTTAATAATTTCGGTTAATTTGATTAACCGACCGATTTAAAATCAAATTAACCGATAATCAAAGTTTAAGAAAAATATTTAAACATTAATTTATTGAACCTAAAATTAACCGATCAATTAACTAAAGAACTTCGATTCAATCGATTTTAACCGAAGTTTCAACATCTCTAAATTTAACAGCTTCAAAATAGCATTAAATTTTTTAATCTAGATCTAAATTAACTAATTCAAATCGCGTTTAATAAGTATAGATAATTTTTAAAATCTATGAAATAAATAAAATTCATCATCTTTAAAACAAAACAGATTCAAATCTATGCAGAAAAAATAAAATATCTGCAAATATCTTAATAATTTACTTACACTTTCCATTTCTTTTTCTCGTCTCCTTCCTCAAAAGCGAATCGAATTAGCCATTCACTCATTATTAGTGGTGGACTTTATCTCACTTACATCTCTTGTTTGCTTCACTTCGCCGCAATTCATCTTCATCTTCAGCCGTCCGATCATTAGTCTCTCTTAGGGTTTAGTTCCTCTCAGATTTCTCAATATTCGATTTGATTGCTGATTCCGTTATTCCTGTTGATATTTTAACAATTAGAAAGCAAGTAGAAGGAGGAGAAAAGAAGCGGCACAGGTGAAATGGAATCGGAGGATGAGTTCGATATGCACGACGCCAACAACGAATCGGGCGAAGAAGACGATTTCTACAGCGGCGGCGATGACGACGACGACGGTGCTGAGCCCGTCGGTGCTTATGACGATTCGGATGCGGTTGTTGCCGATTACGATTTCATCGACAACGATTCCGATGATTCCCACGATCTCGTCTATCACCGACACCAAGTATTTCTTTTTCTGTTCGATTTTTTTTCTTTGTTTTCGCTGGTTTTTCAATTTTCCTTTTGGAATTTTAAAACTCTAGTCACCTTGCTTTTGTTAGTGTTAATTAGAGTATTTTGTCATCATTTCATGATTTGGTCTGGTTTTGGTTAAGATGTTTGTCGAATCTATAATATTTAGTTTGGTATGAGGTAGGACGAGCTAAGTGACCAGCTCAAATGTTGAATGTGGAAGTACAAAAGAACCGATAAGATCATAAAATTCGAAAGGGAAAAACAAAGGATAATTATATGTTTCAACTTTCTATTAATTCTGTATATATTTTTAAAAAGCCATATTTCTAAAAATAGTTACTTATTTTTCCGTTTACATAAATTGCCAATTATATTCATGTCATTTATCAACCTTAACAAGAACTAGTAAACTGTCCACTTTTTTCGTTACAGATGCGAACTCTAGGGTATAATTACTCCGTACTAATTTGAATAATTTTTTTTGGGTGTATCATGTATGATTTTGCGAATTACCCTTAACTACAAGAATAGGGTTGACATAGATTGTATATGTTAGACAAATTGTAGTTTATTTTGTTGAGGTAGTGCTTGCAAAGCTTTGGCTATCAGGAATGTGTTTGATTTTCGTGTTGCCTTGTTTTTCAATTTTTTTGACAATATACAAAAACATTTTGAATTTCATTGGTGGATTTGGTTTAATGCAAGTTGTGTCATTGAATCCTAATAACTAGAAAGGAGACCTCAACTGTGAATGGAATTTACTTCTTTGCTTCTAAGATCGAAGCTTTTACTTAAAATGAACTTATTTTTTGCTTCTAAGATCGAAGCTTTTACTTAAAATGAACTATTAGATTATATCAATACTAAGATTACTGAACAGTTCATAGTGAATGTTGGAAAAACCTAGTTTTTCTAATGCTGCATAGTAAACTTACAGCCCTATCTAACGTCTAAAATTGAAGCAACTTCTCTTTGTCACTCTTATAATTGGTCTTGCAAATGTGATCATTTCTGCTTCACTTTGCACAGCATGCATTCAGCTATTTTGCTATTAACCCTCCCTCCAAGCTTATATCTTTTCTCAACCTTGTGTACATAAAAGTTTGTGGTTTTTGAGCGCTTCTATTGTTAATTATTTTGTTTTTCCAAAGCAGTTTGTATTAAACTGATGTTTCTTTTTGTCTTAGCAAAATTATACCATTTTGAGTGAAGTAGATATTCGCCAGCATCAAGAAGATGATATCATGAGGATATATACTGTGCTCTCCATCTCAAAGGTTGAAGCAAGCATCCTTCTACGGTACTATAGTTGGTGAGTGATCTTGATTGATTTAAATTATGTTAATTGAAATCTCTTTCCTTATGTTCCTTTTCAAATTTTGCTTAGTTTTTTTTTACTTATTTACAAAATTATTTTTAATGGACTTATAACTGCATCTCTGTAAATGTAGAGTGAAATTAGCATTGTTGTTCTCTGTTTTGATGAATAAGGGTCTATTTTGTAATCTATTGACAATGATATATTTGGCGGCTTGATGTTGTAAATGATTTATGATCATTTTGGACTTAAAGGAGCGTCAGCAAAGTACACGATGAATGGTTTGCAGATGAGGAGAAGGTTCGCAGGTCTGTTGGCTTATTGGAGAAGCCTGTAGTTCCATTTCTTGATGGTAGAGAAGTGAGTTGTGGAACACTCAACCAAGAGTTTTCACATTTTTTTTAGCTAGGATTTCCTATGCTTGTTCGGTCTGTGCTCTTTTACTCCTTATAACTTTTATTTTTCTTCACATTTCTTTTTCTGGCAGATGATTTGTGGGATATGTTTCGAAAACTATTCCTATGATAGTCTTCACGCTGCTGCATGTGGTCATCCTTTCTGTAAATCTTGCTGGGCAGGTCTGTTTTGATCCACCTATGCTTTATGTTTTTTGGTTTTTAGTTTTGATGTTGTTTCAAGAAGTTATAGGTCAGATTTTGGAAATCTTTTTTTGGTCAAAGCAATGACTGCACATGCTCAGCTGGCTTTGAAGGGGTAAAGGGATAAATGATGTGCGAATAATTATTTATTTCTATTATTTATCCTGATTATAATGAATACTCCATATTTTGGAGCTATTAATCAGCTTAATAGTGCCCCTGTACATTATTATCCACATTGTACTTTAGCTGTATGTATTGTTAAGCTCAGTAGCTGGCCTGACAGTATTTTAACCATTCTAGCTGTACTTTGTTAACCTTTCCATGGAACTGACCTTCATCTCAATGATTTTTCTGTCTGAGTTTATATGCAAAGCTATTTGAAGTTGTGTATTTACCGACCTTTTCATATTTTCTTGTGAAATTCTCTCATACATACCTTTGTTTTCTTGCTTAGGTTATATTAGCACAGCCATCAATGATGGTCCTGGATGTTTGATGTTGCGATGTCCTGATCCATCCTGTGCTGCTGCTGTTGGTCAAGATATGATTAGCGCATTGGCTTCTGAAGAAGACAGAGAGAAGTACTTCCGTTATTTCATTAGATCTTATGTTGAAGACAATAGGAAGGTAATAATACTAATGATATGCATATTCTGGTTTGTTTTATCCCAAAAAAATATGCGTATTCTGGCTTGTAGGATTTAAAACTTTTAAATTTTGTTAATGATTTTTGAAGTTTACTCTATACATTTGTTTTTAAAAAATATAAAAATATGAATTTTATGTAAACCTGTTTTCTATATTTTTTTATATGTTATTTTGTTGATCTTTTTCTTTTATTTTTTTAATTACTGTGTTGTGTGTATTCAGTACCATAATCACTAAAAGAAATAGATGTATAACTTCTCATTATTCAATTTTCACCTCTTTGGTATTGTAACCCATTTTTCTAAATTATTTATGTGCTATTTTGTAGACCAAATGGTGTCCTGCACCAGGGTGTGATTATGCTGTGGAATTTATTTTGGGCAGTGGAAGTTATGATGTTACATGTCACTGCTCATATAGCTTTTGTTGGAATGTAAGATTTTTTCACATTCTTTCTTGTTATAGTACCTTGAATGATTCACGCATAAGAATTTCTGCTTGATTTTATTTCACTTTCAAAATTGCTAACATGAATTTTGACCCATAGTGTGCATTTGACCTTGCAGTGCGCTGAGGAAGCTCACCGTCCTGTTGATTGTGGCACTGTAGGCAAGTGGATACTAAAAAATAGTGCAGAGTCTGAAAATATGAATTGGTAACTAGATTTATTCTAATACACGAGGTTGTTTAATTCATTCCAAAATGTGAGGTTCTTAAGTTTGTGTGGTATTGGCACACCTAAACGAAGAAATTTGCTTGCTTTCCCTTACCAAAAGTAAACAGTATGTGCGTTAGAGTGCTTTGTTATCTGAATATCACTTTTGCTGGAGAAAGCTTGTCTAGATTCAGTCCTTAATCATTTATGTTCTTTGCTTTGAACTCTTTTTGCTACATGTAGTTGATAATAATTCCCTTGTACATGATATACATAAGCACCAATGACAATTTTATACTAATGCATCATTTAACTTGCTTCTGAATATGTTGAAATTTGAGGTGAACAAAGTGAATGTGTCTTAATCTTATATATATATATATATATATATTATTCGATGCTATATTGTAATGGTTCTGCAATGTTATATCATTCGATGCTATATTGTCATAATGGTCAGTTTCTCAATCATTGTGTCTGTCTTAATCTTCAGGATATTGGCTAATTCCAAGCCTTGTCCAAAATGCAAGCGTCCAATTGAGAAGAACCAGGGGTGCATGCATATTACATGCACACCACCTTGTAAATTTGAATTTTGCTGGTGAGCTGTTACCTCTGCTTACATATGCGTTGCTTGTATTTTGATTAAACTTTGACATCGCAATTTTATTTGGGTTATTTTATTTTTATTGAAAAACAAAATAAATAATAGTCCTATTTGTTTGTATTTTTTGTAATTGTTTGTTTAGCTTTATTGTCTACTGAACAAGATTTAAGAGTACTTTTCCTAAATGGAGGCTGAACCTAAGATTTTGTGTAAAAAAATGATCCTTTCTCTTTCTGTATTTGTAGTGTGTTGTTTCTCCTCTTTATGAGAATTCCTATCAGTTGACCATGTGTATATGTAGGCTTTGCCTTGGTGCATGGTCAGATCATGGTGAGAGAACTGGTGGGTTTTATGCCTGCAACCGTTATGAGACAGCAAAGCAAGATGGTGTGGTATGGAACTTGTTCTTTCCTCTGGCATTCAGCATTTCCGGGGTCACCATTCTTTAACTTTCCTCCTTGAGTTTCTGATCCATAGTGTTTATTTATAGTACGACGAGGCTGAGAAACGAAGAGAGATGGCTAAAAATTCTCTGGAGAGATATACTCATTATTATGAACGATGGGCAACAAACCAATCGGTATGTATTACTTGTGAGACTTATAGTGAAAATGAGATGATGCTTGTCACTGTTACTGTTTGTAAATCCTATTGACTGCTTAAGTTTATTTTCTGGTAACACTTTCTGGGTGATTATGCACGATATACTTGAGTGAGAAAACACTTGCAGCTACTTCTAAAACTCTTCTTTACTTGATGCAGTCTAGGCAAAAGGCACTAGCAGATCTACAGCAAATGCAATCTGTGCATGTAAGCCAAAATTTGTATAATTTTTGACCAACTATTAGTGATGCTGGTCAAGACGATTATTTTTACTACCATTTACATGAATGTCATGAAGATAGTTTTTGAAGGCCATCAAAAGCATTGAAGAATGATAATTTTGTGTCAATTGCAGCTGGAGAAGCTGAGTGACATACAATGCCAACCTGAGTCGCAGCTGAAGTTCATCACTGAGGCATGGCTACAGGTAATTTCCAGAAATTTGCTTGGCTTGCTAACTAAATGTTACTTTAGCTCATCACTGCTACTTTAATTGTGCAGATAGTAGAATGTAGGAGAGTTCTCAAATGGACATATGCCTATGGATATTATTTACCGGAATATGAACATGCTAAACGACAGTTCTTTGAATACTTGCAAGGTAATGCTCTCCGTCTATGAGGTATGGCTAGGATAAATTGGACCACTCTTCAGAGTTTGTTATTATATTTATTTATCTTAAGCTTATTTTATTTATGTTTACGGATGCAAAAAAATTCACATATCGTTCACCTTCAATTAAGTGTGTTTTTTAGCACCTTCCGCCTCAGGCAGTACATACGTTATAGCATCCAAACCGCCCCTTGTGCCCTTAACATGACTGGTTTTTGCACTACTCGTGCTCTCTATTGTCTTGCAGGTGAGGCTGAGTCTGGGTTAGAACGACTTCATCAATGTGCAGAAAAGGAGCTGCAGGTTTACCTCAATGCAGAGGGGCCGTCAAAAGATTTTAACGAGTTTCGGACAAAACTTGCTGGGTTAACGAGGTAACTTTTTGCTTAAAATATATTCACCACGTAGATTCCTTTTGAAATTCATGATGATGTAGAATTTGATGATCTTATCATTATTGAAAAAATTCCATTCAAAAGCTTTGTATGTGTGGAAAAATCTCTTATGTTAGAGAATTGGCAACCCTTCTTCTGTCTAAATTAATTTGTTATAAAACTTCGTGACCAGTGTGACACGGAATTACTTCGAGAATTTAGTTCGAGCTCTAGAAAATGGTCTATCAGATGTGGACTCCCGTGGAGCCTGCAGCAGGATGGGCAGCTCGAAGGGCATGGGAGGCGGTAGCAGTACGGGAAGAAGTGGAAAGGGCAAGGGCTCAGCCTCTAGGCCCAGCTGCTCCAGCAGAAATATCGACGACTCTGGCCATTGGTCCTGTGAATATTGCACCTTCGCAAATGTCAAGTCGGCAACCATTTGCCTAATGTGCCAGCAGCGTCGATAAATTTCATTGGCTATTACCGGATCCAAGCCGGCCTTGCCTCTTGATTCCATGGCATAGGACTTTAGAGGATTGCCAAAGGGCGAGCAAAAAAAGTTTATTCCACTTCTCTTTTCATCTCTTAAATCAAATTTGCCGTGATACAACGCCTGAGAAACTGATATCGAGCGAAGGGGTATGTTTATGTTAAGTAAATTGTGTATAGTCATACGTGTAGGTCCGAAAACCCTTCGACTTGCTTCCATCGGAGTCTTTCCAATATATTCCAATACGTGTAGGACCGCAATGAAAATGGACGATAGGCTGAGCTGTGACCATCTGCAGTGATAAATAATTTGTTGTTGTAATCTTTCTAATTACACGGGGGCACTAAATTTATTACCCGCTTGTATTGTTGTATGTATAATTCGGTCAGATGTTTCCATTAATACTTGTAGATCGGTTGTCGGTGGTGTTGAATATCGAGTGGTTTTTTCTTCGATTATCGTCCGATGCTCGTTTTAATTATGTCTTACATGGTTTTCCTGCACATTTTGTTGTGTTTTCAGTAACATGCTGAAATGAACACAAAATATCCTCTAAAGGTTGATTCGTTTTGCTTATATGCTCAGGTAGAGGTGCACAAAAAATCTGAATATCCGATTTTGCACAAAAAATATCCGAAACCGGATTTGGGAAAAATCGGTTTTTTTAAACCGGATTGGATATTTTAAAACCGGATAGTATAACCGGTTTGGGAAAAAATTGGACGACCGGATTTTTTACCGGATTAAAAACCGGTTTTAAAAAAACTGGATAAAAAATTGGTTTTTTATCCGGAAAAAAATTCCGGTCTGAGGTTTAAAAAATTGGATGACCGGATTTTTTACCGGATTAAAAACCGGTTTTTAAAAAAAATCGGTTTTTTTCAAACCGAAATCGGTTACATCATCCGGCCCTCCAAACCGGTTATGATCCAAACCGATTTTTTTATAAACCGATTTTTTGACTTAGTGAAAAAATCAGATTAATTTTTATCCGATCTGAATCGGATTTAAATTCGGCTATGTGCATCTCTATGCTCAGGTATCTTTGTCTAGGATGATTTTTAGTAGGATGCGCAGTGCATGCATTTACACGTCCGATGATTTTCTATCCCTTGGAATTTTTATGCGAGTTTAAATATAGGGTAAATTATGCGTTTAATGTCCAAACTATCAATTTTTGTTTATTTTAATATCTAAACTTTTTTTTTTCAAATCATACTCAAAGTTCAGTTTTTGTTTTATTTTAGTATTCCGTTTAAAATTAGCGTTAAGTTTTGAAAAAATTAAAATTTTAGGTACGAAAACGGATCACAATTGATAGTTTATGTACTAAATGCATTAAGATTTTAATGACGGGGTATTGAAATGAAATAAAAATTAAATATTATGTATAATTTTGAAAAAAAAATAAAAGTTTAAGTATTAAAATAAATTAAAATTAATAGTTTAAGTATTGAATATGTAATTTACCCTTAAATATGTAACTTTCGTATTTAGAGCAAATTGGGTAAATTTTAATGTCAATTACTAAACGAGTACAAATACGAGAGTTATATATTTATGTCTAATACATGTTTGAATCGTCTTTCATCTTTTCATTCATGAAGTGATTCAGGTTAATATTTAGGGTAAATTACAACATATATCATTGAATTTTAGGTGTGGTATTGTTTATACCATTGAATTTTCAATATTGTCAACTATAACAATGAATTTTGATATTTGTTTTAATTATATCATTGAGTCGTTAAATCGTTAAGAATCTAATCAAAACGATGTTGTTTTGGTTAGGTGTGTACGTCGGTAGTCCTGTCGTCGTGTTGTTAACCAACTTAATGGTTCAGTAGTATAATTGAATTGAAAACCAAAGTTCAGTATTATAATTGGTAAAATTAAAAGTTCGATGGTATACACGATACAACATCTAAAATTCGATGATATCTAATGTAGTTTACCCTAAAATTTATATGTTTGTTTTCACCATTGTATTGTTCATTTAACCTAGTTTGCCTTATTTGTCATGAATGCATGTTAACACGAACACAAACAAAAATAAAATAGGCGTGTGTGAAATATTTCAATAATATTTCCATCGTTTTATTATTCATTCATCCTAGTTTGTGTTTGAATTTGATCCATTTTGTCAGTCCAAAAATTTTGTAGGGGTTCAATAGTAATTTTTTTGTTTTATTAAATTAAGGTGATTATATAATAGTATTTATTTTAAATACACTCTCAACCTTCTGATAATTGATATTAAGTAACGTACTGTAGTCGTTAGTGTTTAAATTCGTGACTTCTAAAAATAACACTCATTTCTTTAATTATCGACGCATGATTCTCCTTTTTTTTTCATTACTAATTGGATATATTCCTCTTCATCTATAAAATAATTTCTTCTTTCTCTCACTATTGTCAATACACAAAGCTAAATCAAAATACCATTAGCATCTCGAAATGAATCAAATCAAATTATAATCGAACCAAAAAACACAAAAACAAATTTGAGTTGGATATCCAAGTTCCAATCCATATACATATATATACACAAATAAATAAACAAAGAATCATGAAAATTTTAAACTTGGAAAGGCCATGGCCAATCCTTCAAATCCTCATCGTTATAATCATCATCACGTTGCACTTTAGCATCACAATTCCCATTCCCATCACCTTCAACGTAAGTATAATACTTCAAGAAGAAAGCAAGCGTCATCACCGCCCACTCAAGGCAAAACATCGCCGCACATAGGCCGCCGGCCATCTTCAATATCACCGCACCGTCTTCTTCCCTGACGTAAGACTTCAAATACCCCAAGAACGCACCGGTCCTCGTCAAGATCAACACCGACACCGAGCCCTGGAATATGGCCGTCAACACCGTGGCTACCATGTGGGCCGCGTACCATCTATTGGTGCCCAGAGAAGCCGTGACGCAGCCGGATACGGCGCCGGCGATGGTGGCGACGTGGAGGAGGATCACGAAGAAGCCGGTTATGGATGGGAGGAGGCGGAGGGAGAGCGTGAGGAAGACGCAGCTGGAGGCGGCGCCGAGGAGGATGTAGTTGCAGAAGAGGAAGATCTTGTGGGTGTGGTGGTGGGATCGGGTGATTGTGGATTGAGGGATGGTGTTTAACTGCATACCCATTGATGGAATTTCGATTGATTTGATGAATTCGATGAATTTGCAGAGATGGGTCGGATTGGATTTTCTCAGTGCACTGAAGAAGCGGAAGATATAAGGAGGCAACCATGGCGATCTAACGGATAATTTTGTTTAAAAATTTTATTAATGACCGTTGTGAGGATGTACTTTGTTTCTGCACACTCTTAACGGCTACGTTGCTCCGAGTTCTATCTTAAGCTTTGATATATATATATATATATACATATATTTTGAATTAATCACTAGTATCTGATTTATCGGTCGAATAATTTAGATCGGGTACTGTAAAGGTAAAAACGACCCTCCCAATCCAGTTTACTCCATTTACAAACGTCAAGATTTAAACTTATGACTTTTTCTTAAGGGATCTAGTGTCCCATCTCACTAGATCAACTATTTATTGGTTAAACTTTGATATTTAATATAGATATTTGCTCTTTACGACTAATAATATAAAGTTGTATTTTTTATTCCGAAAAAATGCATAGAAGGTCTTTACACTTTGAAGAAAAATCAATAAAGTCATCGTATTATTTTTATCTCAATATATCTCTTCAACTTAGGAAATAAATCTAATGTAACTCTATGACCAATATTTTTTGTAGTTGACCTTTATAGTACTGGCGTGCCAATTCATGGTACTGACGTGACAATCTATCTACCCTGTTTGAGTTACCAATTTAGTTAATATATCGTGTCATTTGTCATGTTAATCTGTAATCATGGACTGTCATGTCAGCACTGTGAACTGTCACGTATGCACAGTGAATTATCACATTAGCACCATTGACTGATGAAAAAACGTTGGTCAAATAGTCGCATTAGGTTTATTTTCAGAGTTAGAGGGCCATATTAAAAGAAAAAAATAATACGAAGGTCGTATTGATTTTCTTTCAAAAATATAGGGACCTCTATACTTTTTTACATTTTTATTTTTAAGTAAAGACCAACGTTATATTATTAGCCATTTTATGTGTCTCAAACAAGTATATAAAAAATATAAGAGAGAGTGCCTATCACGTTCGATTTTTGTAAATCTTTTAATAATTTTATCTTTTGTTATGATTTATTTGTAGTTATAATTAAATATGTTTGTATTGATATTTTAGATGAGTTTTTAATTTTTTTTCTTGCATGGTCTTAAGGCGACAAATTTCTTCTATGTTTAGTTTACGTTTATGGTTGTAAGTCTTTCATTGTAATTTTAGATATTTTCTTATTTTTCTAATAAAACTAATGACTTCTATTGGCATACAAAAAATATGAGAGGTAACCTATCAAATGGTCTCGATAATTAACAAGAGTGTTATTCTTCCTCGAGGTCCTAGTTCGAACAATTATATTTGTATAGTGTATACACCACCAGTGATTAAAAAGGATTTTAAATAGATCAAACATAATTAGCAAGTTCAAACACCCATAAATCAAAATTATTCATAATTATTTCTTTTTTCTTTTATTAATTTACAAAGTAGTGTGTACTCGAAAGATTCTAATAATTTGACAATGAACGTTAAAACATCAGCCGAAGATATGCTTGAACTCAAAACTTTTAAAAATAATAATAATAATCCCTTTAATAATTAAAATCACTTAATTTTATTCATAATCCTTTCAAATTTATAAATAGGGAATAAATCGAGTTTAAGTGGGCCCAAACTCATTTGTTTCAAGTTGGACAAATGGGTCATGCCAACTAACTATTGGAGTGATTGGGCTTAATGTTACACAACTCAGGAAAATTGGCCTAATAAGTCAAACGAATACACAAAATAGCTCATTATGCCAACCCAGATTTTAATTTAAGACCTACGGCAAATATTATAGTACAGGATAAACTCGTCACCTCCACATGATGAATTCGTTCAAATAATATTTTTTTATTAATTTTTATCAGGTCAGATGACAAATTCTAATAATTTTTTTATTAAAACTCATCATGTCGACATGACGAGTTCCAAGTGAATGTAACAAATGTCGTAGATTCCAAATTAATTATGGAGATGACCTCATGGGCCAATTTTTTAGCGGTTTGACCTATTGAGTCAATTTTATACACAACTCTTAACTTAGGGCCAATCATCCTTTGTTAATCATAACAAGAATGGCCTAATAAACCCATTCTTGTATCATCAAACCATTCACCTAAGCCCAAACTTTATGGGATCATAAGAGTTTGGATTGAAGTTCTATCATAAGTATATTATGTGTAAGTTTTTTTTAATTTATTATAGTTTAAATTTCGTTGTGAATAATCGTATCTATAATTATTTTAATTTATATTTTATTTGATATATATGTTGTAATGATTAATTATATATATGTATAGTGAATGAGCTGTATTGTTTATATTATAATATTTTAATTAGTTTCTTATTTGGTAGGTTGACACATTATTTTGGTCAATTATAGATGGATGGTTTACAAACTAAATAAGTGAAGAAAAGAAAATTTGAATGATAAAACGATATTCGTAAACTCAATAAACTTGAATACTTATACTATATAGACTCTAAACTCAAGTAAGATTTCAAGTTTAAGTATCGTCTATGAAAAAAGAATTTTACTCATATTTAGGAGTTCGACTCGAATTTCACTACGAATATAATCGAAATCTATACACTAATAAAGAAACTAGTATTTTAACTAGTTTCTTATAGGTAGGTTGATACATTATTTTGGTCAATTATAGATGAATGTGGTTTACAAACTTGACAAGTGAACAAACGAAAAGAAGAGCTATGCTAAGCAGAAGGCAACAGTTTGAAACATTAGGGAGAGAAGAGAGGGAAGGGTTATTATAAGGGTAAAATACACAAATGATCCCCTGATTATATGGCGTTGTTTTGTTGAGTTCATTGATTGTTAAAATTTACATAATGGTCCTCCAAATATATGGTGTTGCTTTGTTGAGTCTCTCGACAATTAAAAGTTACAAAATGGTCACCCGACTATTCATATGTTCCATACTCATCCTTTTTCGGTAAAAAAATGTCAATCGTCTGAGTTGAACGTTAACATGTTGCTTGAGATATGACAGTCGTTTGATATTCCGATATCATATTTTAACATATCTCAGTCAGTATGTTAACGTCTAGCTTAGATTGTCGATGATTTTGGAACATAAGAATAGTCTGATGACCATTTTGTAACTTTTACTAGTCGATGATTCAACGAAGCAACGCTATATAATCGGAGGATATTTTGTAACAAAGCAATGTTCTATAGTTGGAGGATCATTTGTGTAATTTACCCTAGTAATAAACAGTGTGTGGACAAAGCATTGAATGGAAAAGCCATCATTGCAAAAGTACGTAATGATTATCATGCATGCAATGCAAAGGCAGTTTTTTTCCCCATTATCAATGAAGGAAAATATCGATTTGGGTTTGGAGATGAGAAAGTGGCAAATGCAAGTGAGTCTTAAATGCTTTCTTCTTTTTTTATGAATCTTTTGATGACATTTTCCTCTGCAAAAATGTGAAGCTTAAATCCCCACACCAACCCTCCCTTTTGTCCTCTTTGTCTTATTCACTTGTCTTCTGTTTTCTATACCTAACCCATCCCTCACATTTAATGCTTCTATCTAGGGATGGCAACACGTCGGATTGGATTTTCCTACAATCCGACTACTCAAAAAATATGTATCTTATATTAAAATTCGACTCAATTAAATAATATATATCCTCCACCTGACTCTTAACCGATTCAAATTTTAAGAGTACAAATATAATATGATTCAACTCGATCGAGTATAAAATAATGACTTAATTAAAATAATAATAAAATTTTAAAGAAATTACATTATTATCCCCATATCGGATTAGGACTGAATTTTTTCACCTTCCACCCAAACCCGACCCAACCTCACTCCCTTAAAAGTCCGACCCGTCCTAACCTGAATCCAAACTTTTTTTTTAAAAAAATTGACCTTATCGGATTATGACGGGTCGAAACTCGTCAAATTCGAATTAAATTGTCATCCCTATCTATCCCCTCTCTTCTCTTTGTCCTTTGCAATTTGAAGAAGGTTTAATTTATCTAATATTGAAATTTATAAGGACTTAAATTGTCATTAGATAAAAAAGGTCTCTATATGTTCATGATTGTACTTAAAGTCGTTAATTTTATTTGAATAATTCGATTATTGACTCGGTTTGACTATAAGATATCAACAACTAGCTATTTGAATTAAAAAGTTAAAAAAATATACTTTATTTAATATTTAAATTTATAAAGATTTAAATTGTCATTAGACCAAAATTTGAGAGAAACGCAGACCCTCTCACTCCTTTTATAGTTTCAACGATTACTTAAAGACTTATATTATAAATAAGTATTTAAAGTACACTTTATTTTTCATTTCAACACCTAAAGTATATTTTTTTTATCAAAATAAATATCAAAATTTACTTTTTAGTCAAAATAGATCCCTAAAATATTTTATGTGAAAATAGGTATCTAAACTAAACTTTTTTCATCTAAGTTCTAAGAAAGTTGACATGTGACATTAATTAAAGAATACTTTAGATATTCGGATGAAAAATTGAATACTTTAGGCACCCATTTTAACCATAAAGATAACTTTAGATACTTATTTTGACAAAAAAATACTTTCAACACATAAATGAAAAATATTATATACTTCGTTCTTATTTGTTATATAAGCCTTACTATAATATATCGACAATTTGAACCTATTAAATTTGAATGAATCAAACTTATATTAGTTCTAACCTAAAGTGACATAATAAATTATCCAAAATAACTTGAATAGAAAAACTTGAGTGACAAAATCAAATAATATAAGTCTAAAAATACTCAGAATCAAAATAATTCGAATTTGAATTATTTTGAACTGGAAATAAACTCGTATCCTCAAAACAACGTGAACTCAAGTCGACTCAAATTCAAAATTATTTAAAATTTTAAAACTTGGACTAATTCAACTTGAATTATCTAAAATCAAAATTAACCTAACCTAATTGTATTATGTTAAGGTAAGTAGGTAACTCCTCACTCTATGCTAAATCAAAACATTTTTAGTTCTCCAAACCATTATTCATTTAATAATTAATTATTATCGATCTAATAATAATTCAATTTAACGTATTTACTAACGAATCAGTGTGGCAATTTAGGAATATGTCGTGCGACAT